AAAATATGATATGAAAACATCTAATTTCATTTGGCTACATAGTTACAGATACTGCTAAAACTACAGGGTTGATGACCTACTTCAAAAGTAAAGAAAATGTTCAATTTCAGTTAGAAGTGAGTGAAATAAAAATGCAATTTTTATTTATTTATTGTTTTCTCCACCAAGTTCACAGGCCTTCTGAATTCTTCTGGGAATCACTCACTGCATTCGAACCTTAGGATTTTTAGGTTCTTTTCAGTTTAAAAATATCAGTAATATCTTTATGATTCTTCACTTGTTTCCATGTTCACTTTGCCCAGGACCATGTTTATAGAGTTCAGCACTAAAAGTGTCATAATAAAATTTTGTGAAATTACCTCTCCCTAATCAAGCAAAACTACAACTTTCCTCACTACCATTAGTTAGAAGTGAAATGTTTCACTAGTTCTAAAAGTGCGCATGTTAGGGTTCTCCAGAAAACAATCAACATGTATTTTTGCTATAGTCTAAATGTTTGCATCCCCCCCCCCCGCAAGATCGTATTTTAAAGACTAAATCCCCAGTGTGGTTGTATTTGGATATTGGGTCTTTAGGGAGCGATTAGGTCATGAGGTGGAGTTAATTCCCTTACACAAAGAGGGGTATGGACCTCTCTCTGTCTCTCCACCCCTCCTCTGCACCACGTCAGGGTACAATGAGAAACCTGCCACCTGCACACCAGGGAGGGGACCCTCACTAAAGCCTACCACGGTGGCACCCTCATGGACTTCCCAGCCCCAGAGCCATTAGAAGAAAGTTAGTTCTTTATGCCTCCCAGTCTATGGCCTTGTATTATAATAAAACAGAATGACTGAGGCATATCTTTACATATAAATACATGCTATGTATTTATGTAGGATTATAATATATATATGCCAAGACATTTATTATAAGGATTTGAATAATGTGACTAGGGAGGCTGACAAGTTCCTAGGTCTGGAGTCAGTGAGATGGAGAGCCAGGAGGGGCAGCTAGTCTGAGTTTAAAGGGCTGACGGTCTGTGCCATCAAGAAACTGGTGGTTCCTGCCTAAAAACCTAGAAAACTAAGCTCCTATCCAAAACCAGCAGGTATAAGACCCTCATAAAGCAAATAATGTATCAGTTCAGATCCAAATAAAGGAAACGACCCATTTGCTGGCTTAAAGCACTCAGGCATGAGGAATACCCCCAGGACCACTCCACTCATTGCAGGAGGGGTGAACTTGCTCTACTAGGCCCTCAACTGCTTGGTGAGGGCCACCCACATTAGGGGGAGCAATCTGCTTTGCTCAGTCTATCAACTCAAATACTAATTTCATTTAAAAGCACACTCACACGTAGACCCAGAATGATGTTTGACAAACATATCTGGGCACCACGGGGGGCTAGCCAAGTTGCTACACAAAATTAACCATCACAGTCCCTATAGTGAAAAATCATTTTTAAATCCTCCTACCTAGTCACATTATTCAAATCATTATCCCAACTGGAACATTACTATACCGATAACCCTCCGAGAAAACTACTGAGATAAATTGTTTCCACACAATTGAAGTTACAAGAATGATATTGAAATGAAAAGAAAGGGATTTGATTATAATATGTAGAATATGGTATTTTTATTTTGAGAGTTATATTTTTCTTGCTGTCTGAATAAGTAATCATTTAGATTTCCTATGCCTGTACAGTGAATGTTGATGTGTGCCGGGAAAGCAGAGTGTGGAAGGAATGGAATGTTTGAATTATTAAACATATTTTTAAATACGTTTAGAAACTTGTCAATGGTCTTGCCTTCATCATTTAACTATGGCAAATACTGATTGGATTTCTTTATCACTTCTATCATTATTTATTATGAGATTTCACTTTTCATCTTAAAATTTCCTTGCAAAGAGCACACAGAATTAAGGTTGAGAGAGTGATTTCATTTTAGTTCTTCAACAGACCAGTGTGGAAAATTAAACAAGCGATATCGCTATGGTCTTTGCCTGGCTGTGCTCATTTTATGAACTGGAATAAAAACACTTGTTATCATACATTAAATATGAGGCATTTTGAACTCCTTGGATGAAATTCTTAATATGAATTTACTCAGCCTTGTAAATAAATTTAAAAAATTAATTGACCTGCACAAATTTGTTACCAACCTTCCCTTTCCCATGGTACTTAACTTCTAGTGAAATGAAGAAAATTAACCTTTTTTTCCACTTCTCTCTCATATATTAGTGCTTATGGGGGCCAAGTAGATCAGTGCCTATTCCCTGGTATGGCTCCACTGTAATCCACTGATCTCTGTGTGTAAAAACAATTCATATCAGGATTGAATACAGATTTAGGATCATTTCTGGCCTGTGAATTTGGCTTTAAATCCATTACTTTAAATAAATGAATAATGAAGATATAGAAAATAGTGTGTTTGTAATAAAATAACTTAGGGAGGAAAGAAAAGTGCTCCAAACTGAAAATTAGGTTTCTTTCCATGTGACATTTTTACTCTGAAGCTAGTCAGGAACAAAAGCACAAAAAGGCAAAGTGAACACTGGCTGGAAGTAGTGTGCTTCCTCTCCCCACACGTGTTACTTCAGTAGGAAGAAGAGAATGAGGCAGAGAGAGAAAGGGCGGGGGTGGGGGAGAGTGGTAAAATAGATCTTCCGTAAGACCTTCAGGGAAACTGGGCTCAGTAGATCAGAAGCAGCCCAGGAGTCCTCAGGGAAGGCTGTCATCCCCGCAGCCCTCAATCCTGACAGACTCTCTTGCGGCTTCACCTTCCATCTGTGCTTGGCCCTGACCAGAGGCTCAGCACAGGGCCCCAGCCATCTGTTGGGCCACTCAGCTCTCTTCCTCTGTGTTCTATCTTCTTCAATAGTCTGTATTTAGCACAAGAATGTCGTTTAACAGATTACAAACTGTAATTATAAAACATTGCCAGATAGTACGCACCATCTAAGGAGCATGCTGAGAGTTGGAGTGGATATTGAGAGTTAAATATGCAAAACAAAATTAAAGCCAAACCTGTAATCTTTCTGATATTGAATAGAATGCATAAACTGTCTTAAAAAGATATAGATTCTTCTTTAGTAAAGAGATAATAGACCATGCAGAAAGTAGTCTTTGATTTCATTTGCAAAGATGAAGACTAGATTCTACGAAATTTTCATTAATGGCATAAAATAATGCAGTAATCTAGGTTTCAAAATTCATACACCTCTGGCACCACTCAGATGAATTAGAATGGTGGGGCGGGCTGGGTGTGAGACACCAGAGACTGGACTTTAGTGAAGGTGTTGCCTGCCCAATGCATTCAAATTCAACTAGAAAAAAAAAAAATACAACAAACTATTTGGGCTAAATAATTACTTTCAGAGGTGCCAGTTTGGGGGAGCTTTCAAAAATAATTGGGATTTCCCACCTGATGCAAAGTAGTTTTTTGTTTGTTTGTTTTGTTGTTGTTGTTAAGTATTATCTAGCATGTAAGAGTAGTTCTTCTTTCAGAATATTCAAAATCCCCCCTAAACTGTCCCAGTTTGACATAAAACACCCAGGAGACACCCAGGAGTCTTAAGCCTCAAGAATATATTAGGGAGTGAAAAAGGTTTACCCCCCTTTTTTTGAAGACTGGGCTTTAAAAAGAAGCAGATTAATGAGGGTCACCATACTGAACTTTAGGTTGCTGCTAATTACACTGTATGATCAGACTTTTTTTTTTCAATGTGCTTAATCACCCAAGATATTTAACAAATAACTTTAAACTGAAACCCGGCTTCATTTGTTAGCACTCATACTGGCTTTCCATTTTAATTGACTTCAGCTTATTGCAAAGATCTTTGCATTAGGTCTTCATGGAAAATTGGATAAGTATTGAAACATTATTATATGTTTGAATAACCTAGCACTGTACTTGAAAAAAATTGGAATGACTAATTTTCTCCATATTAAGATGCATATTTTTAACCTTGTGAGAGGTTATTTCTAAAAGTATTTTTGAAATTACATCATTCCAAAGAAGCGTGCCAGTTTGTAATCTGTGTGTTGATTCAGTGGTACTCATTCACTCAGCGTGTACTTTGTCTCTGGTAGAAGGTGTGATGTCTCCCGCTGCCCAGGAGACTGGTATTCTCCCACGTTTCATAGTTAGGGCAAGTGCACATTCTAGATTCTATATTTTTGAAAAATTTATTCAAGAAGACATTTAATCAATTTATTTATAAAAATCTTTAGTTTTCTTGTTTAGCTTGCTTAGATTTATTGTATAATGCTACTGTCATTTGTTTTGCATGCTAGCCCACTCTTAGGTTAAGAAATAGTCTTTTATCATCTTCTGTTTCCCTGAAGGTCACACTTGGCTGTGTGGCTCTCTGTGGACCACTGTAGTAGTTGTCACATACTCGTAAGATAAGAATAAAGGAGAGAGTGGCCGGGTGCAGCCTGTCATCCCAACACTCTGAGAGGCTGAGGCCTTGTGGCTGGTGCCTGTTGTCCCAGCTACTCCGGAGGCTGAGGCATGGGGATCCCTTGAGCCCAGCAGTTTCAGGTTGCTGTGAGCTGTTACACTGTGGCATTCTACCCACGGCACAGAGTGAGACTCTATCTCAAAAAAAAAGAAAAGAAAAGAAAATTATGGGAAAATCCTTAGTTATAAACAAACCCTAAACCCTTTAGAGACTTAATAGTCTTTTAACAATTGAGAAATAATGAATCATTAGTGTTCAAAATAAAGTATGATAAAAATACATTCAAAGCCACAAGAAAAAGCAAAGCTTGATTCTGCTCAGTGCTCACCATGCTTCAGTGAGCCTTAGAGTCAAAGAAGACTGTCAGGAAACAGACCCCGGAGCTGCTCCCACAGGCCCCGGGGAGGACAGGGTGGAGCCCAAGCCTTGCATTGAGAACAACTCTTAATGACTTTGATGCTGCTGGTCTCTGGATTGCATTTTGAGTGGCTCTGATTTGGGAAAGATCTGGGAAGCATAGTGTTAACAGTTTAAATTATGTTTTTCAGAAAAATAATTTCAACTGTACCCGGAGAGCTCAGTGCCCAGAAACCAATGTCAGTTCTGTACAGATACAAGGTGACGCTGATTATTTCATCAACCATCTTGGAGTTCCCACCGTGCAGTTTGCTTATGAAGACATCAAGGCATTGGAGGTGATTGTTCCTAAAAAATGCAAAACACACACACAATATATAGCAGACGTGCAGAATCTGATTTTATCCTCGCTATTCCTCTTTCATATCAAATAGGTCACCATGGAAAGTGGCTTCATTTAGAGAGTTATTCTTGTTCGGAGGCTTGGTAATAGTATTTGAAAACATCAGCTCTTTTCAATAGTGTTGAATTCAATTTAAAAAGATTTATACTGTCACTCACATTTTCACAGTGTGCATCACAACAAGAAATTCACAGTAGAGGATTAACGTCAAAACCTAATTGTAATCTTTGGTATTCACAGAAACAGATGACGTGGGCCATAGATTCTTCTCTGTTCATCCAAAGGAAAATGCATTTCACGTTCTGTGTGTTAATGTGAATCTGTGGATTAACTACCCAAAGTTCATCAGTAGTTCCCAGGCCTACTAGGCCTGAGAAAGATACTGCTTTGGGAAGATAGAAGGCATTTTCCCAAATTATATCACAAAGGTATTATTCACCTTAACTACGTCTGTGTTCATCCATCTGTTGACTTCAGTTCTTTCCATCTTTCTCAAATTATGTCATAGGAAAACTGTCTCTCTGTGCATATAAACCTATTGGCATATATCATCTTCTTTTAGAAATTGTTTGTATATTCTTTGGAGCTATTTGAAAGCCTTGGGAATAAATTGCGTAAGATGCTTATTAAATTAACAAAATAATTGTCAGAAAATAGAGTAAAACCTGCTTTACTCTTCAAATGTAGATAAGTGGGTCATTACAAAAGTTTTGAGATACACAAAAACAAAGAAATGTAAAATCCCCACACTGACAGAAACCTTCCAGCAGCACTCATAATCCAGGCGAGTTGAAACTTGCTCTGGTCAATCAGAGAGGACGCTGTCGACTGTGTTTCCTGAAAGTGAAACAATGGACTGTAACAGTCTGTCTCCAAACTCCTGTAGTGACCCGGGTATCCTTGAAGAGGAATGTTTAAAGTATAATTGGCGTAGGATGAATTTCAGATGTGCAATATCTTAAAATTTTAGTAGCTTTGAGTAATATTTAGCTTTACATCTCCATGCAGCCACTCGTAGATAAGTTTTGTCAAGCATTTCTCCAATTCATTTCAGTTGGATTTTAAGCCAAGAATTTAGAAAGGCAGAATGGTGTCCTCTTGGGAATGGGACTAAAGTCTTGACTCTGACCCTTGGAGACAAACTATTTAACATCTTTCAGAATTATTTTACAGGGGCAGTGCCTGTGGCTCAAAGGAGTAGGGCGCCAGCCCCATATGCTGGAGGTGGTAGATTCAAACCCAGCCCTGGCCAAAAACCTAAAAAAAAAAAAAAAGAACTATTTTACAAACAAGGCAGCGTGCTGCCTCACGTACTTATGGAATCTACCTTATAGAGCCAGAGTGAGGATTAAATGAGACCATGTGAAGGGTGTGGCTAACAGGAAGCCGGTACGGCGACCCCTTCAACTGTAAGTATTATCCTCTGATTGTAGGTCCAGCAGGTACGTGGGAGAATTTCCCAACTTTTAAGATAAGAATACTCAGGAAAAGGAAAGACTTTGTTAATAGTCAAGGAAAACAAACTTGTCAGGCTGCAGAGGTGGAATTGATGAGGATCATCTGGGATCTGAGATGTCAGTAGGGAGAAGGTTTGGAAACAGGAAGTTACTGTCACTGAGAAATTCCCAAGTCTAAAGTCTATCCAATAGAGATGGCTTAATTTGAAGGACCATTTTTTTCAAATTATTCTTAGAATATCTAAATTCCTTCATCAAAATCATTTTCTATTATATCTGTCTTTTAAAAAATAATTAAAAGAGTGTCCCCTATGCTTTATAACAAATGACTTTGTTTATTATATATTGCTTTAATGGGAGAATTTTTTAATAGATTTGTCCCTTATGAAATATGAATGCCCGAGATGAGATAACTCTGCGTGAACTCTCTAAAGAACAGATATTAACCTTTGCTTTCTCCATTAACCTATAATAAATGCTTGTATACAGCTATTAAAAAGAATTATAAATATTGAAAAAGGCTTTATCCATGATGTGAAAAATACTTACCCAATGTCAATGAGTAAAGTACATGAGGAAATTGGAGATTTTTTCATAAAATTTCAATTATATTTTAAAATATAATTTATGTTTATAAATTTTTAGGGACATAGCTTGGTGGACTGGAAATTAGGAGGCCTGAGTTTTTAAATTCATGCATGTTAACGACCAATCTCTATAGGTTTCTGAGCCTCTGTTTCCTTTTGTATGTAGTTAAAAGTAAAATGAAAACAAAATATAAAATCTGCCACCCATGGAATGCTTACTATGCAAAGCATTTTGTACCTCTTACCCTATTTAATACTAAACAGCATCTCTATGAGTTAGTTTTTATTATTAACTCCTTTTATGCTGTAGATGAAATAGTATTTAAAGTCAAGTCCAAGGTTATAAAAATGATAAATGGCCAAGACAGAAGTTCACCTCAGGTCTGGTTTGACAATAAGCCTCTGCCTTCAACCATTACACTAACGACTGCAAATTAGGAGCCCAAGGGCAAGAACTACTTTACCAAGACCATGTTTATGCTTTTTGTCCTGAACGTTATTGAAAAATTGAATTTCTGGAAACACTGGATTCTTTTTCTCCCTGGGAACACAAGCTAAATGGGCATCGCTCACCACTTGCCATGTTCCCTATCAGAATCTGCCATGTTTGCCCAAGAGTGCAGTTAAGAAGAATAATTTCTTCAATACCTGTTTCTATCAAAAATTGGGAAATTAATGATCAACGGAGAGGGCCACATGTTTCACTCAACTGTGTCACTTGTAGTGCCTGCCTATCCCTGTGTTCATTTTGAATAAAAGAGTTAAAATAAATAATTGTTATAGAAGGTTGCATTTTAAAAATTGTTTTCTTAGTGGGCTAATTTTATGATTATTTTCATGTTTTTGAAGACATTATCTATTTAAAAATACTTGGGTCATGGTAACACAAATGTTAGAGTAACTCAATATTTTTTCTTATCCAATAAGATTGATTATGGATCTATTATATTCAATTTCAAAAATTGAATCATGATAGGGAAAATTGAATTATGCAAAAAATAAACTGGTGACATAGAGATGACTTTTTATGTGGGACATTATTGGTTCTATTTTTTTTAATAAAACATGACATTTTATAATATCTATACCCAACATGTCAAGTTATTTGTATTCCCACCAGTGACTTTTCCTTATAATTTCTCTGGGTACAAATATATGACATAAGATTGGAAGCATCTTTCATCTTCAGCTTTATTCAACATATACACTCTTAGTTTCCAATAATTAAATTTAACAAATGCAAAACAATCTATGGATTTGCCAAATGTTAGAACGGTTCCTTCACATAAAATGTTGCCCTGCTAATTGAAACATTTCTGCTCATAAGCTTCATTTAAATACAGTTTTAAATTTGTAAACACTGTCACACCTGTTGGAGAGGCATTCTGCACAGATTTAATACAAAGCGAGATTACTGACAAGGCAATGAGAAGACAGATGCTCTCTGATTAAGAGTGCAATATTTATGACAGGCTGGTGGTCCAATGCACATTTCTTCTGTCACTTAACAGCTGTTCCACGTTTCTGTTCTGAATCAGTATCTTCATTCTCAATAGAGCATGTCAGAGGGTCGGCCTTTCTCAGTATATCAAAAGATCAATCTATGCCCTAGCAAGCTTTATACCACAAATGGAAGCTGTGGTCGTCACTCTGTTTAACCTTATATTTTTTGCTCTCCTGCTTGAAACATTCTATTTTAAACCCAATTTACCTCTATAATGGAGCATTTAACATTTAAATAATAATGAGGTAAAAGGGTATTATAGCTTTTATATAGCGAGAGTCATGGCATAATCATTTCAATAGCATTTAATAACCCAGGGACAGAAAACCAAGAAGCATAGGTGTTTTAAAACTCTTACTAATTTTTTTTAAAGCTAGATAACTTTGACACCAGTTCTGATTCTTAAGCTAATATATAGTGGCAAG